AGTGCCTCCCCCGCTCCTGCCTTGCAGCATCAGGACCAGCACATCAGGCTGGGAGCTCAGCACTGTCTTCATCAGACAATCTGTTGTGTGCTTTTCTCCTCCTCTAGTCCAACGTTGCTGCTTCCAATGCCAAACTGGCCTTATTCTATGACTGGCTCTTCTTCAACCCCGAGAAGGACAGCATCATGAATATAGGTATCCATGGGGAGTCTTGCTCGGAGTGCTCAGGGGTTGGAGAAGGGGTTAACACCTTCCAGAGCTGCTATAGAGGTAGAGGGATGTGGTGGGGAAAGCCCAATAGATCATCACCAAAGGGCATCCTTTCCATCCCCTGCCCTGAGCTCCCGCTTGCAGGAAGCTTGGGGCTGGATCATGGAACCATGGAACGGGTTGGGTTGGAAGGGAGCTGAAAGCTCAGCTAAAGCCATGGGCAGGGACACCTTCCACTAGAGCAGGTTGCTCCAAGTCCCATCCAACACTGCCAGGGATGGGGCAGCCACAGCTTCTCCGTTCACCCCATTCCAGTGTCCCATCACCCTCATGGTGAAGAGCTTCCCAGTATCCCATCTAACAGCTCCCTGCTGTCTCCTTGCAGAGCCTGCCATCCTGGTGATGCACCACTCCATGAAGCCTCATCCTGCCATCACTGCCACGCTGCTGGATTTCATGTGCCGGGTGAGCTGCCCCTGGATCTCCAGGGAATTCTGCCTGGATTACCAAGGGAGTTGGGCGATGAGTGGTGAGGGCTGTGCAAGCACAACTGCTGAGGCTCTTGATATCCAGGACCATTCCTGGAGCTCGGAGCAGAGCGTTGGGCCCATGTGTCATGGGAATGCCACTGTGGGAAGGCATTCCAGACTTCCCAACGCTGCAAATAAATCCTTCCAGAAGGATGAGCACTAGTAGGGAAAAGGCTTTGGAATTGTTCCCTTTGGAACCCCATGGAATGGTTGGCTCAGTGTCACCCCCTGAGGGCAAGCAGAATGTCACTGCAGAATCAGAGCCATCATCTCCCTTTCAAAGGACAGGGAGCAGAGCTGGGCCTGTCCCTCCATCCTGGGGGAAGCAGGGATGGGAGTTGCTGGTCCCTGGGATGAGCCAGATGTCTGGGAAGAGCCCGTTTCCTCCCTGCAGGAGTGAAGGACGCAGCTGGATGTTGGTCAGGGTGCTCCCCTCTCCTACAGTGGCTGCTGCTGCTGGAGCACAGCCCCAGGGCTTCTCAGAGCATCTGTGTGTGTTCCTCCTCCCTGGTTGATGCACTGGAATGGCCCTTTGGAAAGGGGAAAGGAAAGGAGGGAAGGGCTGGTCCCCTTCTGGCACCATCCCCATGATGCCCCCTGGTCCACATACTGGAGGGTGGCCCAAGGACTGAGCAATGGCTTTAGCTGCTCCTGGCTGACCGAAGGGTGCTGGAGGCAGAAGGGTTCATGCACTGATGTGGTTCTTCTCCTGCTTTCAGATCATTCCCAACTTCTACCCCCCTCTGGAGGCTCACGTCCGGCAAGGAGTGTTCAACTCCCTGACCCACATCGTGGAGAAGCGAGTCCTTGCGTAAGAGAGACCTCAACCTCTGCTCTTGGGAACCATGGGAGAAGCCATGAGCTGGCTCTGCCTGGTGCTGAGGCTTGTCCTGAGACCTGTTCCTTGGAGCAAGGGGATGGGTGGCTTCAGAAAGCAGTAGAAACACCCCTTGTTCAGCTCTTGCCATGCATCTCCTGGTGGCCCCAGTCCTGTTGGAGAAGTGAGGGAATCCCAAGTGAGCTGCAGGAACCTTGGAGCTTGTGGTCCATAACAAACCAAAGCCTCTTCCTCATCCCTTTCCCTCCACCACAGACATCTGGCCCCTCTCTTTGACAATCCCAAGCTGGACAAGGAACTCCGTGCCATGCTGCGGGAGAAGTTCCCGGAGTTCTGCAGTTCCCCCTCACCCCCCATTGAAGGTAAGGAGCAGGGTGGGTGCTGGAGGAGGCTTCCCAAAGGTGGGACATTCCCTGCCTCTCCTGCAAGTGGCCCTTTGGAGAGTTGGAGCAGGACGTTAAAGCTCCTCCAGCTCCACGGGCAGAGACACCTTCCACTGGAGCAGGTTGCTCCAGGCCCCTGTGTCCAACCTGGCCTTGAACACTGCCAGGGATGGGGCTCCAGCTCCACGGGCAGAGACACCTTCCACTGGAGCAGGTTGCTGCAAGCCCCGTGTCCAGCCTGGCCTTGAACCAGGGCTGGGGCAGCCACAGCTTCTCTGGGCACCCTGTGCCAGGGCTGGTTGAATGGGATCACTGGGAATGCCCTTTCCCAGTGTGGCTTTTCCAGGCTCCGTCACTTGCCCAAACTCCTTATTTCCTGGTTGGAAGCTCTGTCCTCTCCTTGCTGGGCCGTGGCGTTGGTGGTGGTGACGGGTGGGCATCGTCCACTGGTGCTGCCGTAACCTCCACTTCCTGACCCTTTTCCAGTCAAAATTGAGGAGCCCGTTTCCATGGAGATGGAGAACCACATGTCAGAGAAGGATGACAGTTGCTATGACAACGCTGAGGCCGCCTTCAGTGATGATGAGGAGGATCTGAACAACAAAGGTGAGGAGAGCTCCTGTCCTCCTGCACCGCCTCCGCATCACGTGTCCCCATGTCCCCAGTGACCTGCTGATCCCTTCCCTTCAGGAGGAGGATCCCATACAACCTATAAGCCCAGTTCCCAGTGGGAATCACTTCTTGAGCCTGAAGTTTCCTTCTTTTGGTGTTGAGGCCAATGCTCTGCTGCTTCCCAGGCTCAGATCCATGCTCAAAGGAAAAGCTGGGCTTCATCTCCTTGGTGTTCCCTAGAGCTTAAACCCTTCAAGTTGTAGCCCTTTCTCCTCTCTCTTGTTGTGTGACTGGTCTCCAGCCCTGTGGTTGGGAATCCCGATGGCAGATGCTGCTCTGCTTTGGGAACAGGGCATCTGTTCTCAGGCTCAGGCCTCTGCATTGCTCAGCCAACATGGTTTTCATTACACTCCCTTTCAAATGGGGCTGAGAAGCCTGCACAAGGCCAGGATCCCCTCTGAGGAGCTCCTCTGTGGAGCTGGAGGCATCTCAAGCAGTTCCTGGCCTTGCTGGTAGGACTCCTATGGGCTTCCATGCTGGAGCGTTACCCCTGAGTGGGGCAGGGGACGTGACCCTGGGCTGTAGCAGCATCTCCAGTAGCCCCATCGAGCTGTGCTGGCTGCTTGGGACCTCTGAGAGGCTTGAAAGGGAAGGACAACGGCCACCTTGTGCCATCCCTTAGTGGCAGCTTCTTGGCCCTGGTGCTTCTGGGCTCTGCTGCAGGCCTAGAATGAGCATGGGGAGGACCTCGTGAGGTGCTGCGTGTGTGGAGTGTGTGGAAGGGCAGGTTTGGACACTCAGCTGAGGGGGAGCCACAGTTCCACACACCCCCTGCATTTGGAACCCATCCCATGTCCCTGTTCTTGGTGCCCTCAACGTGGTTTGAAAGGGGGAAGGCAAGATCTGAGGCTGGAGCACACACTGGGGGCACAGTGCAACTGCCCCCCAGCCCCACACATCTCTTAGGGCAGAGGCTGGACCCTTCCACTGTTGCTTTCCTTGTTGCAGGAAAGAAGAGGGAATTCAGGTTCCACCCGATCAAAGAAGCCATCGTGGAGGAGCCTGTGGACATCACACCATTCCTGGACCAGCTGGATGAGTCCCTGAAGGACAAGGTCCTGCAGCTGCAGAAGGGGAGGTTGGTGCTGCTTGGTCGTGTTGATCCCTCATCATTCCTCCTCGGAGCAGCCTCAGAGCAGGACACAGCAGCAACAGGGGAAGGCAAAAGGCTCCAAGCTTCATCTTCTGCTGTTGGATTGATGAGGGGAGGTGGTGCAGGCCCTTGGGGCACATCTCTGCATGGGCCACATGGGACAGAGCTGTACCTGTGTCTGCATGTGTTCCCTGCACTTCCCCACCTCCACTCCTGATTCCCAATGACCTTGGAATTAACTGCTTCTAAAGAAGGTTATAAAAAGCTCTTGCTTTGCAGACCTTGGCACAGGGGCTGATTCCCTGTGATTTATGTGGTTAGGGCTGGAAGTGCAGTTAATCTTATGCCTTTTAGGCTTTTAATGTGCTTGTCTTGGTGCGGACAACCCCAGCGCTGCAGAGTGTTCTGGAGCTGGCTCTCCTTCATCTGTGCCTTCTTCTAAGCCTGGCACCAGCACAAAGCTAAGCTGGTGCTGGTCCTGGGGGGGCTCCCGAACACAAAGCCAGCTCAGCACAAAGCCCCCCTTGTCCCTGCTCTCAGTATCTTCCTATGTAACTTGGATTTCCTCTTGTTTTTGTGCTCCAGCGATACGGAAGCTCAATGTGAGGTCATGCAGGAAATCGTGGATCAAGTCCTGGAGGTAACGGCACAATCCCAGGGAGCAGCTCTGCTGCCTGACTGCAGAAGCAGAGCAGCAGCAGTGACATGGGTTTGGGTTGAAGGGACCTTCAAGCTCCTCCAGCTCCACGGGCAGGGACACCTTCCACTGGAGCAGGGGGCTCCAACCTGGCCTTGAACACAGCCAGGGATGGGGCAGCCACAGCTTCTCCATCCAACCCATTCCAGTTCCCCACCACCCTCGTAGTGAGGAACTTCCTAATGTGGAAAATGCTAAATGAGCTCAAGCAGCACCAGGCAGCTCTGTTCCAGGGGTGATAAACGCATTCCCAGCTGCTGGAATTGTCTCACCCCTGCTCTCCTCCCTTATACCCCAGGAGCTGCTGTCAGATGGGACACTGGGTGAGGCTCGCTCCCATTCTGACCCCTTGCTGAGCCGCTGGGGCATTCTCCATTGGGAATACTCCCTTTTGGCCATGGAGAAGAGCTGTGGGTGGTTTCCAGGAGCTGGGTGGTGGAGGGCTCCATCCCCTGCCTCTCATCAGCTCTCTTTAGACTCAAGTGGCCTTTTAGCATTACGAGAGCTGCTTCTCCCCTCTGGGAAGCCAGGGAAAGGCTTTGCCAGGGTGGAATTCCTCCCTGCCAAGTGGCTCCAGTCCCCTTGCAGAGCAGAGCTGAGCTCAGTGAATCACCAGCCATTAGAAGTGCTCACAGTGATGGGGAGACACCAGCGAGGGGCTCCTCTTGCTGATGACCAGCCCCTGGTGCTGCAATAGAGCAGCAGAATGACTCCTGAGCAGCCTCATGTCCATCCCCAGCTCTGCTGGGTCCCAGCTCTACCTGTGCCTCGCAGGCAGGTTGCACCTTGTGCTTTCTCCTCTCATTCCTTCCTTTCTGCCTCGCAGGAGGACTTTGACTCGGAGCAGTTATCGGTGCTCGCATCCTGCCTCCAGGAGCTGTTCAAGGCTCACTTCCGTGGTGAGGTTTTGCCAGAGGAAATCACGGAGGAGTAAGGATCTCTCTTTGTGTGTGTGTGGCTCATCCCTCCACCCGCTGGGACATGAGCTTGTCCCAGGCACACGTTCCCCACTCCCAGAAGGGCTCTGCTGAAGGCAGCGGCTTCCTCCATGAAGCAATGCAGGGTTCACACGTGGTCACTGTGGGCAACAGTTCTCATGTCCAGGGCTTGGAAACAACCATCTTCCTCCTCCTCCTCCTCACACAACCTGCTGCACAGGGCTCACTGCAGGTGATGCTCTGATGGCTTCTGGCTGGACAACCAAGGCACACAAGGGCCTGAACGCTTCATCTCTCCCTGTTGTACTCCCAGCCCCGTACTCTCTTCCTCTGCGATTCTGTTGGAACAGGGCTTGGAATTGGGAGCATCCCTGTTCTCCTTGTTAGGGTGAACCCTTGCTGGCCTGAGGAGCACCAAGAGCCAGATCCAGGGCTGCTTCCCTGGTGACCACACTGGGTGGGAGCACAGGGAGCTCTGACTGTTGTGCTTGTCCTGCAGGTCTCTGGAGGAGTCGGTGGGGAAGCCTCTCTACCTAATATTTAGGTATGACTATTCCAAACTCCTGGCATTGATCTAGACAGGGCTTCCTTGTTTGCTTCCTGGCACCACCATGGGTGAACCCTGTGGGTCCAGCTAATTTGTGGGATCTCTGGATGAGGGGAGTTTGCTGGATCTTGACCACATCCCATTGGCCTCTGCCAAATCATGGAATGGTTTGGGATGAAGGGACCTTAAAGCCCATCCAGTTCCAACCCCTGCCACGGGCAGGGACACCTTCCACTAGAGCAGGTTGCTCCAAGCCCCTGTGTCCAACCTGGCCTTGAAGGTTGGACCAGTGAAGGCCACTGGCACGTGGGTGTCCCTGCAAGCTGCTGCTCCTCATCCCTGGCAGAGAAGCTCCTGTGTGGTGATCCCGCGTAACGTGGCTCTTCCCTGTATCCCCAAGGAACCTCTGCCAGATGCAGGAGGATAACAGCGGTTTCTCCCTGCTGCTGGATCTCCTGTCAGAGCTCTACCAGAAGCAGCCCAAGATCGGGTACCACCTCCTGTACTATTTAAAAGCCAGGTAGGCCAGTGGGGAGTGCAGGAAGCAGCCGAGCTTCCACTTGGCTCCTGCTGCCTCCAGGAGACAGCTCAGTGTCATCCAGCACCCAATGCAGCACAGGGCTGCAGGTTCCTCTCACCCAGGCACGCCTCCTTCCTTCCTCCTCCTTCCTTCCTTCCTC